AATCATGACCTCTCCGGTGGGCGGCAGAGCGGGCTGCAGGGGGAGCGAGGACGGGGCGGGAGAGGAGAGCGTGGGGGAGGACGGGAGCGAGGGAGGGGGAGGAGGACACGGGGACGGGGAGGCCAGCGGGGACGGGGGTGACGTCATGGTTTGGACAGAAGCTGCGCCAGAGACACGAGTGCCTTACAGAGACCCTGCTGCTGCTGCGGACGCAGGTGAAGAGAGAGAGAGAGAAAGATAGACGCCCGTCTGTGTCTCTCACTCTCTCTCTTCCTCTGCTGACCCTGAGAAAAACGAGTAGAAATAACCTGCAGAAGACAACAGTACATGAAATCATAGGACTGCTGGATCCAACATAGATAGACAGACCAGAACTACACGGGAGGAGCTTGTTAATGATCTTGAGGCAGTTGGGTTCACAGTCACCAAGCAAACCATTGGTAACACCCTACGCAGCAATGGACTGAAATCCTGCTCAAGAAGGCACATGTACAGCCCGTTTAAGGTTTGCCAAAGAACATCTAAATGATTCAGAGAAGGCTTGGGATAAAGTGCTGTGGTCAGATGAGACAAAAATTTAGCTATTTGACATTAACTCGACTCGCTGTGTTTGGAGGGAGAGAAATGCTGACTATGACCCCAAGAACACCATGAACATCTAAATGATTCAGAGAAGGCTTGGGAGAAAGTGCTGTGGTCAGATGAGACCAAAATTGAGCTCTTTGGCATTGACTCGACTCGCCGTGTTTGGAGGGAGAGAAATCGGAGTATGACCCCAAGAACACATCCCTACAGTCGAGCACGGAGCTGGAAACATTATGCTTTGGGGCTGTTTCTCTGCTATGGGTACAGGATGACTTCACCGCATTGAGAGGCAAATGGACGGGGCCATGTACTGTAAAATCTTGGACGAGAACCTCCTTCCCTCAGCCAGAACACTGAAGATGGGTCATGGATGGGTCTTCCAGCATGACAATGACCCGAAACATACCGCCAAGGCAACAAAGGAGAGGCCCAAGAAGAAGCACATTAAGGTCATGGAGGGGCCTAGCCAGTCTCCAGACCTCAGTCCTATAGAAAATCTGTGGAGGGAGCTGAAACTTTGAGTTGCCAAACGACAGCCAAGAAACCTTAAGGATTTAGAGAGGATCTGTAAAGAGGAGTGGATGAGATGTGTGCAAACCTGGTGACCAACTACAAGACACGTCTTACCTCTGTGCTTACAAACAAGGGTTTCTGCACTAAGTACTAAGTCATGCTTTGCTTGGGGATCAAATACTTATTTCACTCACTGAAATGCAAATCAATTTCTAACCTTTATATAATGTGTTTTTTCTGGATTTTTTGGTTGGTATTCTGTCTCTATACGTTAAAATAAACCTACCGTAAAAATTACAGACCCTTCATTTATTTGTTAAGTGGGCAAACTTACAAAATCAGCAGGGATCAAATAAATATTTTCCCCACTGTATAATGTTAGAACTCTATACATTCTGGTATATTGACAAAACTCATTTCAGATTGAATTATCACGTTTTGGTAGCAAAGATTTTGGTCATATTGTCCACCTCCACCAAAGTATTTTAAATAGGGAGCTGTTATAAATTTATTCCATTATAAATAATATAGTATATACTAGGGGTGACCCCGAAGAGTCTAAGATTCGATGCTTCGATTGGAGGAGCCTGATTCGACTACCAATCTCATAGTCGAATATTCGCGGGGTGTTATGATCATGCAATTTTGGCTATATAGGGGTGCTGAAATGTCTGATTTCACATAGAACTACTGTTTTTCTCCCAATAAGTTAATATACAGCCTATTAAAATAATGCTGTAATTAAGAATCTGAAAAGAAAGAAGATTCAAATAAATAGTTTAACGTGCGTGAATAAATCCAACCACCCCTATAGATTTAAGTTTCACTTTCCATAACCCGTGACCGACAGAGGAGCATCTTGGCGGCACGGATTTAAATCTTTAACAAGACTCAAATTGACACAGGCAGAGTGAAAGTGATTTTTTCGATCAGGTAGGGTACAAGTGATTTCAAAACATTTCAGCCAGTTTATATATATTGTGTATATATAATTTATCTCGTATAAGATGCATTTGGTTGAGTTGCGCTGCAGTAAAGCGCTTCAATTGATAGGTAAATATAATAGATAGATAGATAGATAGATAGATAAATAGATAATGTTAGATAGATAGATAGATAATGTTAGATAGATAGATAATGTTAGATAGATGGATAATGTTAGATAGATAGATATATAGATAATGTTAGATAGATGGATAGATGATAGATAGATAGATAGATAGATAATGTTAGATAGATATAGATGGATAGATAGATAGATAGATAGACAGACAGATAAATAGATAATGTTAGATAGATAGATAATGTTAGATAGATAGATAGATAGATAGATAGATAATGTTAGATAGATAGATAATGTTATAGATAGATAGATAATGTTAGATAGATGGATAGATGATAGATAGATAGATAGATAATGTTAGAAAGATGAGAGGGATAGATAATGTTAGAAAGATGAGAGGGAGAGATTGATAGGTATAATAGATAGATAATGTTAGATAGATAGATAGATAGGTAGATAGATAATGTTAGATAGATAGATAGATAGATAGATAGATAGATAATGTTAGATAGATGGATAGATGATAGATAGATAGATAGATAATGTTAGAAAGATGAGAGGGAGAGATTGATAGGTAAATATAATAGATAGATAGATAGATAGATAATGTTAGAAAGATGAGAGGGATAGATAATGTTAGAAAGATGAGAGGGAGAGATTGATAGGTATAATAGATAGATAATGTTAGATAGATAGATAATGTTAGATGGATAGATGATAGATAGATAGATAGATAGATAATGTTAGATGAGAGGGAGAGATTGATAGGTAAATATAATAGATAGATTGATAGATAGATAATGTTAGAAAGATGAGAGGGAGAGATTGATAGGTAAATATAATAGATAGATAGATGTATATATAATGTTAGATAGATAGATAGATAGATAGATAATGTTAGAAAGATGAGAGAGAGAGATTGATAGGTAAATATAATGATAGATAGACAGATAGATAGATAATATTGGATAGAAAGACATTGATAGATATTGATAGGTGCATATAAGGATAGACAGACAGATATGATTGGTAGATAGATATGATGGTATACAGTATATAACGACATATATAGTTATGACAAATCTCTATAACGACAGATAGCTAGAGAGATAGACATATAACTGGTATTTATAGCAAGAGAGAGAGATTTCATCTTCAGCAGACACTTTCAGATGAAAGAAAGAGCAGATGAAAACATCACATGAAAGGGAGAAATTAAAGAATAAAGTGAAAAAGAAGATAAGATGAAAGAGTAAAAAGGAGGAGTGGAATGAAGGAATGAATAGAATGAAAGAACTGGAGGAATGCGAGTGTTATGTAAGTGGAATTATAGAGAGAAGAAAATAATTATAGAAACCATATGCATTAAAGAAACTATAGAAAATAAACGCATGTAATGTAAATGAGCGGATCTTCTAAATCTTGATATTAAAATGAGTTTATTTCTAGAACCTGCAGAATCCTCACCTGCTTCTGCTGATGTTTCCAGACGCGCCGCGGAGCTCCAGCACATCCACACTGATGCTGCTGGTCTGATCTGCTCTGATGTGTTCTGGACTCGTTCGGCCCGTTCAGTCCAGCGCAGTGAAAACCTCTCCGCAGAAACAAACGCTCGTCGCTTCGCTTCGCTCCTGCTGATCTGACGCGTTTAATCCGCCGCGCGTTACACCAAACGAACGCGTTAAATGACGGTAAATAAAGCCTGGATGCCGCTGAAGACGGCCATGGACGGAAGCAGATCCCCGGCTCCGAGACGCGGACAGGGCGGAAAAACTGGCTCGACTGGCGGCGAGTGTCGGAAACCTTCGGGAACATTCGGACAGCTTCGGAAACCTTACACTAAAGACGCAGTTGCAGCACAGCCGAGCAGCCACCCGAGGGAGCCATGTATCACATTAAAAAATGATGTTTATAAACGTTACAAAGGAATACTGGCGTACTGCATGCTACGCACTACACACTATATACTGCTTACTATTAAAAAAAAAAAAAATACATTATGAGAGTAATGACAAATGCAGTATGAAATATGTGCACAGTATGTGATTTTTTTCTGTATGCATGATGAAATGCATGGATGACCTGCGACATTTGTCAAAAAAGTGTGAAGAGTAAAATGTGTTCATCACATTGTGAGGTCAAGTCAAGGGCATTGCATTGTGGGATACAGTATCTCACACAGTGTGCTCTGGATGCACGCTGCACATTTTGAATCATAACAGGTCATCTGGGTATTGTATGCATACATAAAATTAATATACTGTACACACAGGAATGCATGAGTTATTTTATTTTCTATTTTATTTCTATGAAGCACAAATATTCAGTGTAATCTTTCAGTTAATACAAACGCATAAAAACGGCATGTACATGAATTATGCAAAATACGGTTAAATACTTTTAGATGAAGTATAGCATGTCACACACTGTTTTTATACATATAATGCCATGCTATTTTGTGAAGTACAATGGTACTGCCATCCGATGCCTTTATCATTTTGTAAGTGTAACCTTTGCAACTGTATATCTTGAATGTCCCTGTATAAAATTTGTTATATATTATATTATATTAAAAAAGTGATCTATTTGTTTAAAAAAAAAACTAAGCCTACAATTAAATATTTATTTATTATTATTTTTTTACATGCATCATGATGGTACCATGCAATTCTATTAAGTACCGTGGTACTACCATCTAATGCCACACTATTATGTTGTAAAGGTAAATTTTGCATTTATATATTTTGTATTAAGTTTTTTACATACGTTTACAATTTGTTATATCATTTTACTTTATTAAAAGTTTGGCCTCTTTTAAACTTTGCAATTATATATGTTGAATTATAAAATTTATATATATATATATATATATAATATTAAAATACATATAAGAAGTTTATAATATATAATTGTATTAATATTTATTTATTTATACAATTAGATACAATTATAAATTATATTCTTGAATTCTGGCACCATATGGATTACATTTGTTATATATCATTTTATATTATGGGTTATATAGTCATTTAAAACGCTTAAAATGCTTTATACATTTACAGCAAAATCAGAGTACAGGCAGTTTTAGCTTAAAATCAAAAAGGAATATAATCAATAATTATGAATTATAAAATTAAAACAGCCTATTTAAAAATATATATTGTTGGCTGATGCTAACTTAAGGTAACTTTTAAATATAAAGTCCAAATATTTTTATTCAACCAACTAGAATGCATTTGATGGAAAAACAGGATTTGATGTTCAGAACAGAGTAACTACAGTAATTAAGCTTGACTTTATCTAGTGGTTATTTTGGGAAAAACAGTATGGGGTCGTTTCCCCCCCACTCTACCCTATAATTATACATTCATTTAAAATAAAACAATTAAATATTAATATACAGTTTTTTTATATTATCAGATGTTATATTTTAATTTAGAATATAACTCTGTCGATGTGATTATGGTTTAGGGCGATCAGGTGTTGAGAGTTTGGATCTCTGCCTGTTCTCTTGCGCTGTGTTGAGTAACAGAGCCTCAGTTGAAACACACTCTTTCCTAACCCTGTGGCCAGATTTCAGGTCAGGGACCGCAGATTTCCCCACCGCTATACGGAATCAGGTTACAACACACAAACATCAACAGTCGTGTGAATTAATGAATGCCAGGGCTTGCTCTAGTGGACGTGTAACGCAGGTTCGGCGTTATCAGCCGCAGTCGTCTGCTGTTACGTGGAGCCCTAACTAGACAACCCAGTGCCAAGCCAACAGGCGAGATTAATCACAATCGATGCACATCACCCGAATGAACTCGGAGAACAAGCGG